TTAGCTGTACAAAACGATAGCAGGTAATAAAAAGGTAGCCATCTTCCATCCAAAAAGTTATTAAAGAAGTTTCTACTACAGAATCTTTAATACTGAAGGTGATGCACAAGCCAGATCTATACAGGATGCCTGTAATCTCAGCTTGAGTTTGTAGACGGAAAGAAGTCTGTCTCCATGTTTGTATAGCAGTTTTTAACCAGACACTGTAGAAACAGTAAACATGAACACTTCCAGGATTACTTTTCCCAATATACTTTTTGTTTAAAAACACTCTCAACTTATACATCAGCACTACAGAACAGCCAATGTTTCTCTGCAAATGGCTCAAGTGCTTTTTCACTCCAAGATTTTTTCAGTCTAAATGAATTAGATATCATGGCAGAAAAAAATTACATCATCTACATTTAGCCTGTATCCAGGACTAAACTATAGCAGTTTCTCTATCATCTCGTGACCCCTCACCAGCCAGGAAGAAGAATCGGGAAAAGGAAAGGAGACCAAGGCATTGGAGTAAAAACAGATTTAATGAAACAGCACTGATACCAACAGAGGTATACAAAGTCATACTCAGCCAAATGAAAATGCAACAGTCATGACTGACAGGAGAGCAGTCCTCAGGAGCAAGGAGAAGCCAGAAGAGGAGCAGAAGGAAAATGAGAAAGCCTAGCAAGAACCCCACAAAAGCTCCCCTTCCCTCAGCAAACCTTCCCCCTTTACAATGACCAGATATTATGGGATGGGCTGCCCCTGTAGCTAACTCAGGTCAGCTGCCCTGGCTGACTCAAAATTGCTAAGGGCCTGCCTAGCATGGCTGGGCTGTGATCCTATCTCAGCCAAACCAGGATAATCATTGTAACAGAGTCCTAGGAACCTTAAATACTGTGTGCAAATATAATTCCTGTTGTGATTTGTCTGTAGAAAGATCTTTCCCAAAAAAACTAGTGTTCTCATGATTTTAGTTTTTTCTAGACTCACCTTAGAAAAAGAAATAATGAAGTCAGTACTACTCTTACAGCTTAATCAATTTTCTGAATGAAACAGCAGCCTTCCTATTAGATGTTTCAATTTAAGCCCCATTTCTGTTTCTGACAAAACAAAAGAATTCTTTGTTACTAGCTTTTAATCTTACTTAGGAAGGTCCGCAGGCTTTTTTTTTTTAACCTACTATTAAACTGAGAATGAGTTTTTTAATGAAAACTATGCTTAAAGCTGGCATTTTAAAAATTGTGACTCAATATCCTTTGAAATGCTTTTTATTTAATATTTGGTACATTTTTTAACATTGTGCTGCATAAGGTAAGAACAGTGTTTACAATGACTGTTTCAAATTATATCCTTTTATTAAAAGGACATATCTAGAGTTTTAAACATTTGTAAGCTACAATAGTTGAGATTCATGAAAATCACTGAAGCAGGTTATCAGTCAATCAATAACCAAAGAAAAGCAGTTAACTAGTTGTGTAGAAGAGGTAGTCATGTCTGACCTCTTGCTATCTATGACAAAAAACAAGACAGTATCAAAACAAGCAACCCTCCCAAGATATGGCTATCCTATCTAGACTGATGAAACAGTTAATTTTCTCCAGGCTTTTCTTCTAAAAAAATCTCTTGTATTATTAGGTTTTGTTGATGCGATGTTCTGAATTGCTTCTTCTTAAAGGTGCGACTGCATTTGACACATCAATATCAGGTCATTTGGTGTCTTATCCAATGTCCACCAAGACATTTGGAAGTCCTTTTGTTTAGTTCTTTTAATTTCAACCTAATCCCATGCTGTTTGTAAAGTATGGCAATGATCTCGATAGCTCCATTTGCATATATATATATATGTATATATATATATATTTGCATTTATTTTTTCTTAGAAATTATCCCCTGTGGTTTGTGTTTTCACCCCTTGTGTGTAGAAAATTTTCGTGTGTATCAGTATTATCTGCAGACCTGAATGAGAACAGGAGCATAGGCACCACTTACCCTCCATTATTTATGCATCAGAAAAATCTGCTAACATTATTTTTCATTTATTTCAGGTTTCTTTTCTCCATGGAAAACTCCAAAGCCTGTAAGTTCCCTTTAAAAATTGTACACATTGAGTTCATAAGATGACTACCATTCAAAGCAAATTACTGTAGACTTTCATCTAACCCTCCTGCTCCCAGCTCATGAGACACCTTTCAGCAGTGTCCCAACTCTAGGTGAGACAGCATCTGTTGACTTGGAGTCTCCCAGCAGCGGTCTGGATAAAGGAACATCTCAATGTTAAGATGGGTGTCAAGAACCAGACATGCAGTGGCTCAAAAATGAAGGGTCTGGAGGAGAAGGCAGCAGAAGGCCCTAGCAATGAGGCGAATCTAGTTGGCCTCCTAGCTGGTGATCTTTTTGAAATGGACAACGTGCACCTTTTATGGTTTACAGGCAGTTTGAGCTTAACATCCTTAAAATGATTGTTATTCTTTTTTGCATTAGTAGATACAGAGTTGGAAATAGTCACACTTCAAGTGAGAGCTTGGACTAGGTAACTTGCTGAGCTGCTTTCTAACCAATATTTCTATGTTTCTATGATTTTGACATTAAATGCCAAGGTATGAAGACCTTTCCTACTGTAAGCAGCAATGACTGTATTTATTCTGTTGGCACCACATTATATCATTTTTTGAAGCTGTGACAACATTCACAGTGTAAAAAGAAATCATAAGCTACTATTTTTGTTTGTCGGGTTTGTTTTGTGGGGTTTTTTTAATTTGGCTTTTTTATTTTGATTGTACAGACCTTGAAGTAGTGCTTATCTCTCATCAGAGGTGTGTAGGGGAAAAAAAGAGCCCTGACTCTGCCTGAAGGCTTCTAAGAGCAATAGGAATAAAAACAGCAATATATTTTAAAGGATTTATAGCTTTCTTATTTGGGGGAGCGGGGGTGGGGTGTAGTATGTTGAATCTGGACAACTCCTCATCCTCTTATATTGGATCATGGCATGTTTAATACACACCAAAATAATTTTTGTAGCCTATCAAGTACAAATAGCAATTAATTAATCAGCTTAATTAATTAATCAATTAGTTACCTCATCAGACTGTTTCACCTTGTGGTGGTTTTGATGTAAAAGGCAAGGGGATGGATGCAATACATCAGAATAGGTATTGCATAAGGTTTTTTATTCATCTAAGTAGCAGGACAATTGTGAAAATCAATCTGACTATTAAAGACTAGCTTGTTCTCAGCAGTTTGAGGTTCCTGTCTGACTGAGATGTTCAACTTTTAAGCTCAGGTAAAAAGTGGTGAAATGGAGAACTTGAAACTTACTTGCTAAAGATCCGTATTCAAAGACCTCCCACTGTCAGTGCTCACCCTCTTTTCATACATGTCAAATACATAAATATCACCATTTTGTTGGTGATTGTCTGCACAGTTTTGTTATATAAACAGTATAGTAGTTCATACTCAGGTAGCACTTGCCAATAATCAGAATCTAGAGAAACAACCTGAGTGATGCAGTTTTTCATGCAATAGTCTGAGTAAATCAAGGCTCACAGAGTATAACACCATTGTGTGCAGATACTGTACCTGCATGCAGGCTAACCATTCACAGCTAGTCTATTTTGGGGTAGTCTCAGCAAGAGAGCTTAGAAGTTATTAATCAGGTTCAGGTAGTGTGCATTCCTCTGTCTGTCATCGCTTTAACTAGGGAAATAATCAGACATAAATTTCTAGTGCCCAAGACGTGAAGAAAAGATCGAAACCAAGTGCCCCTGAGGCACTGAGTGTCTGCAGACAGTCTGAAGCTACAAGGTCAGCACTGATAGGTTTAGAAAGTCTTCCCAACACCACAGCACACCCCTGTAGGTGTGTAATGGGAAAGAAAAACTGTATATGGCCCAAAACCAGCTTTGTTTTCGGCTTGGGTGACTACTGCTGACACCTTGTGTCTCTGGCCACACAGGGGAGAAGCACCCATCATTCTTTAAAGCAGAAAGGGGACCATGGACCATTGGCTCAAAGAGAAGAGACAAGCTCTTCTCCATGAGGCAGAGGCTCAGGGATGGTGTGCACTGCATCGCAGTGTGCCTAACGTCCCAGGGTAACCTGGGCTGTCAGAGATTTCCTGTGGTTTCTATGTATATGGTGCATATATTATGTATATCATATGTAATACAATTTGATCAGTGCTAAATGAACTTGAGCAATGTCACCAAACCATGACCCTGACTTAGTTTTGATGCCCTGCACTCAATGCCATGCTTGTTCATTTCCAAAAGGGCCTCCATCTGTGAGCTAGCATTATGATAATTCACACTGCAAAACACTATGCAACTATTCAACTAATTGATATGGGTTTGAGAAATATAACTATTTATGTTAGCAGTATTAACCACAAGTAAGAATGTTTTGCTCGGTTTTTAACTTCACACTTGAAGATTTAGAGCTAAACAGCAAGCAAGAATTAGACGTATGGGACCCACTAGCGTTTTGCCGATTGTCTCCAGCTTCTCGTCCTTCCTCCAGGGAAAAGTTTACTCATCAAAGATAATTCTGTTTTCCTTTCTCTTTTTAAAACTTTCTTTAAATATTTTAATTTTATTCAGTTTCACATTTTGAAAAAGGTAAGTGTTCTATTTCTCTGGCATTTTCCAAGAAATCAGGAAACTTTAACTTCTAGATAGACAGGGCCCCACATGCCTTTCTGCTTCAAGTTAGATAGTTTAGTTTCACTGACTTGTGTTCTTTTTTAGTTTCCTCACTGAAAGTAAAACCTCAGCATAATTCCCCATTATTTTCCTTGATTATAAGGAACTTATGTTGAGCCCTGTGCTCCTTTGCCATTTAGACATAGGAGTGATAATCAGGTTTGTTTCTGGAGACCTTTGAATTTACACTTCCATGATACAATGATATACTGTATATATGTTTATATATGCCCGAGGTAATTCCTTTAGAGCCAGAAGAGCTATCAGGAATATTATTGTGGCATTCATGTGACTTGTCACATAGGCTAATTTACCCAACACAAAGGATAAACTTATCTTGGTATAAAGGGTACCTTAAGGTACCCTAGGTACTTTCCTGTACCTAAGCTATTTTGATGACAACTCAGTATCTCCACATGTCACTGTATTTCACAGGATCTACCTACCTATAGTGCCCTCTTAATATCACATCCTAGTGATATCCTTTGTATCTGACCCAAAATAAACGTGTCTTTCTTGAACAATATTGGCAAATATTGAATGCAGTATTCCATAGCTTCATCATTAGCACTTCATAGCACTAATACTTTCCTTTCTCAACTTAAATATCATACCCAATTCATACTACTGCATGAGAGCCATCTTGTGATTGAGATAGATACCTAGATATTTCTTTTCTTCATTGATTCTAATGAACCAGCCCTACTTACTGCTGAAACTCTGACAGAAGCACAGTTTGAATTGTAACACTACTCTATATAAAGAATGAGGTCCTCAACAGCTTAAAATGGCCAATACCCATATTCTGTTCATTTTGAAGTGTGAAGCTAAGAGTGCCAGATCATCTGGGATGTGCAGAGTAGGAGTTACTCAGCATGTTCACCAAGAGGACTCTAATACATCTGTAGTCCACACATACTTGGTGTGGAAAAAGCAGGATGTTGTTAATCATCAGAATGGAGAGCAAAGCCTGACTGCTGAGCCAAACACCTTCCGAAAACAAGGACTTAAAGGGAAACGATACTCACAGAATTTGTAGAGCAAGCTTGCTGTAACCTTGCAATCATCTTTGATAAGGCACTGCTGATACAAGGCTAAAGTTGGTGGTATTTAATTACAGTTCAGTTTGCTTCCAGGAGTCATTTTTTTGTGTAATTAACTGATTGTTTGGTTATGTGCAACACACTCTTCTGGAGGCTTTACCACTCTTTACTTCAGGAGGGGTCACAGGAAAAGCCAAACATTTGTTTCCTGGGATAAACATTTGTGTTTTGTTTAAATTAGCCTCTTCAAATATATCTGCTAGTGAAATTTAATTAGTAGCTGACTCCTTTAAAAAAAAAAAAAAATGCAGATCCTCAAGTCTTCTTTTGCACAGTCTATCGTATTATCTCTTTCTGGCTTCCTGTACTTGTCATACCACTAAGGGCAGTCTTGAAGAAAACATGGATTGAGGTGACTTGTGCATAGGCAATACACTGCTAATTACTTCTCTCCTGTTAATGGTCTGGAAGAGTTGGAAAGCTTATCCTGTGCTTGGGAGTTTGGTTGGATGACACCAACACAATTTTTTATGTAAGAAATAAACAGTAAGAAATGAAAAAGACTCTATCAGACTAATGCCCACTTTTCCTTCACCATGTTTGTGTTTTATCATTGAACACTTGACTATCACTAGATGCTCAGATACCTGCTGTAATAATTTTCGCTCTGTTTTTTTTTTTCTTCAATTGAAGCTGTAAATTATGCTCACAGTCACAGTTATCTGATTCTCCCTGGGCAGCTAGCTATTTTCATGCATTCTCAACAGATAGAGCATTATGATCATTCAGTTGCTACCTAGTCTGGCCACTTCTGTTAAGTGCTACTTTCAGTTATGTATTTCGATGAATCTGATAATTGTATCTTCACGGACCCACAGATTCTACCTTTAGCAGAATCATTTCCAATAGCTCAGCACATTCTGTGAGAGGCACACAACATGGTTCAGGGGTAACGTTGGGCCCTAAGCCACAGGGGATCATATTATCTGAGAAAGATCACATCTTTCCATGAGCAACAAATTAACAAGTAAATTTAACCAAGTCATTTTATAAAGAGCACAGCACACACCTTTCACCTCAAAAGACAGCAAACAGGTTTGCCAATTTCACAAAACACATCTTCAACTGAAATCACTATCTTTGGTCTCACTGTGGAAGTCACAGTTTCTGCAGAACTTTGTCTTTATTCTCTATATGTTTTTATTCCAGATGATGGAACGATGGGAGAATCAAGGCAGCCCTCAAACAAGCCTGTCTGCTCCAGCTATGCCACAGAATATTCCCTATCCTCCCACTCTTCACAGGAGTTCATTTCCTGATTCAACAGAGGCCTTTGATCCGCGAAAACCTGACCCATACGAGCTGTATGAGAAATCAAGAGCTATTTATGAAAGTAGGCGTAAGTGAAAGCCCTGTTCACCCTGCTGACCATTTAATATTTTAAGGTTTTGCCTATGAATGTGTCACTGCTGACATAATTTTCTGTCATTATCTTTTGTAATTTACAGAAAGCAACTATAATCCCAGTTAATAGAGGCCATTATAAATTGTTCAAAAATTCTGCACATATATATTTTCCTAGATCTTGCCTAGATTCCCAAGTTTGACTTCCAGAGGTTTTTTCTTTATATTTTTGCTCTCCTCATTTTGACTGTTAAACCCTCAGTGAAGAACAGTATATGTGCTACCACATTTTGCTGTGCTACTTTTCTTTATAGTTAACTGATAGGAGGATGTGAATTTATCAATAAGAAATCTTATTTTTAAAGTGAAGTTTATTAAAGAAGTTTCAAATGTATTTGTTTTTATAAGAATTACTTTAACAAGTTTTGACATTGTCCTTGAGAGTTAGAAAGAAATCCATAGCGCTAAGTACTATTTGAAGATCTGTACAAAATTATAGAAAGCCATCAATATTTCCATCTTGATTTATTTCTCATGTTTTTAGGGGATATACCACATATTTTTCACAACAAGGGCAAAAGGGGTTAAACTTATTTACTCCGTAAATTTATTTACTTGTAAAGAACATTTTAGCTAAAAATAAACTGTCCAGAGCTTTTGCTCTTATTAAGATCAAATCTTCAAAATAGTTTTTTTACTGAAAGCTTTTTCATAACAGTTACTGCTTGCACACACCACCTTTCAATTCATTTTAGAAATTACTTTAGTCTGTAGACCAAAATACTTTATAAATTACATATAAAATATTGCACTGCAGCTGATCCAGATTAGTCCATTAATATTAATTTGGCCCAGATTTAGAGATAAACCTAAACTATCATACTCCGTGACTACGAATGTACAAATTTCTCCAGCATGCAAAGGTATAGTCTGAAGGAAATACATTATTGTCCCAAACACTGGGTTGGTGCCGCTTTTACTTGCTTTGGCCTTTATACTTCACTTACAGCATCAGCCTCTCCTGTTTGGCTTTGGTATTTCCAGTCCCCAGCAGGATGGATATGCTGGAGGAACACGAGGGTTTGTTTTACATCAACTCTAAGTTAACTCTAATATAGTGTTTAAATTTCATCTCAGATTCCTCAATCTTTTTGCCACAGTAGACAGTGCCACCTTCTTCTGCCACCCTGGTACTACTTAGAGGAAGATCTTTCACTAGAGTTTGTTACCATAAAACTCGCTTTCCATAGTCCATACGTTTTTGGTGGGGGGTTCATTTGGGGTTTTTTTATTTATTTAATAGGTGCCTTAAATTAAGAACCCCAGTTTAAATCTAAGTACTTAAATAAATTGCTGGCTTTTTTCAGCAATACCAAGTATCTTACTCCCCCTAAATATGGATTTGAGAACTTACTTCAGACCACCTATAAAAAGTATTTGATCTTCAATTATATACTGTTAGGCGTAGGAGCTAAGCTTTCCAGTGTATTTACAAATACCATGTAGCCCATGCTGACTGGTATTTTATTATAATAGATATTATTTACTAATATATCATCTTCCTCTGCTCTAGATGTTATTCCTGATTGGACAGGGCACCAAATTTACAAGCAGAGGCTACAATTTTGATATTTTAAAACTTTCTGAAGTATGCATCAGGATACAGTGTGGAGTAGGACAAAAAGGTTTGAAAGAAGTAGGACTAGCTTTGAGTGAAGTTTGAAAGTGATTTTCAGACATCTCTCTCCTTTTCTTTCTCTTTCTCTTTCTCTTTTCCTTGCGCATTAAGGGCTAGCATGACAAATAAATAAAAAAATTTGCCAGAGCTAAAATCAGTTCGACAGAGTGCTGGGATCTGTGATTATAAAGAGAAAATAAAGGGAAAAGAAACAATTCCATAGTTAACAAGGTTTAACATCTCTACTGAAAACAGTCTTGATTTCATATAGTGCTTTAAAGGAAGGAAAACCCTTTGCAAAGAATTGCTTCCCATATGGGTAGCTTCTAGAGGTGAAGTATTTTAGCAAAAAGCTTCACTTTCTACTCAGCAGAGACAAAACCATCTTCTGTGGTTAAAGCCATCATGCCAAGAGTGGAAAAGCACAGATATCGGACTTCCTGCATTGCAACAAATATCTTTGTAAGACAATTAAGAAAAAGTTATACATGCCATATGTATACATGGGACACATATTTATACTGTGTCTTCTTTCATCTTGAACCCAATATGAAGTCTTATATTTACAGAATTGCCCTAAATATTAATGAAAGCAAACAGGCTCAGTCCATGTTTGCACTTCATAAAACTGTAGGAATATAGACCTGATGTCAACTACAAAGATTGACATATACCCCAAAAGACGATATATTACACCAAAAGATATGTTACACCATTCAATAAAAGAATGAAGTGATTTATTACTATTCATGGGTGTCTTCTACAATTTTTGGGGATACTTCCTTGACCAACATGAACTACAGCCTTTTACTCATACAATCTGCTGTGTTCAGGAGCATATCCTACACCAGGGGAAGAGCTGATAGCTCATAGGCTGGAGTTATGCTAAAGCCTGTGTTTAAATGGTTTAATCACATTTGAATTCTGTCCAAGAGACAACTGAAAATTGTATATACACGCCTTTTTCAGCCAGCTACCTAGACAAAGTAAGAATTAAAAATAATGAAGCTGCTAGGCCCAAAAGGAGAAAGTGAGGGATGAAAAGCAAGACTGTAGTAACCGCTCGTCCCAGATTTCCAGCAGTGTCCTGATCTTCCAGTTAATCCTCAAAGCTTTAATTTTTTCTCTTCTGACACTGGTATCCTTTGAACATTTTCTCTAAGCCTTGATTCCACAGTTCCCAACCAGATCTCGTCTGCATTTATTCATATCCCTTGTTCATAAATAACTGCCTCCAAACATCTCTATTCTCCCTGACATTTTTGTTTCATGAATGCCATAAGCACACAGTTTAGTAAATTCAATTTGTGAAGACTTTGATTGCTTTTATTCTCTACATAGTGCTAGTATTTCCTAAAGAGAGAAACAACAGGCAGGAAATCCATTACTGAGTCAAGAAATTGTCATCTAAACTGAGTATACAGGAGGGAGAGTTTCAAGATAACACACACTTAGTTTCCTACCATATGGCTGTGTCAGGTTGGTTATCTTCAGTAAAGACATACCCTTAAATTGCACAGGAAAAGTTCTGCTACATCGGATGTTTTTAAGTACTTCTTATCTCAAAGCAAGCTTGCCTTATCTCCTGGCAAGACCAGAAAAGAAGGAGGTTCATCGTCTAAAAATAATGCAAATAGGCGAACAATCACAACCTGAAAAACTCAAAAAGAAAGAGATAGTGCTAGATTATTGTTTCTCTCACAGTGCAACTCTGTTACTAAACAGTTCATTTTCATACTGCTATAGCTCTGAATTTCTACAGATCCTTTTATCAGAGGATCTCACCACAGTTAGGACTCACCAGGACCTCATCAAAGCCTCCTGCTTCCCTATCAGGTAGTTGAACAAGCTATGAATCACAGCGTAGTTCTGTGAGGAGCACAAGTGACAAGACTCAAACCAGTGCAAGGACTAGACCCAAGGAACCTGATTCACAAGCTGTGGCTCTAGCTGCTAGTTATGCTCATCCCTAACTTATGGTAGCAAGAAAGGGGCTTCAAGCAGGAAGTCTGCATGAAAAAGGATTATTTTCATTCTACAGGAATGTTTTTCTATCTTAGGAATGTGAAGGACCTGTATGACCCTATGCGGTAGAGAGATTTCAATTTTTAATGATCACATATGAATTACAAAGGACTGCCGCTTCTGCACTGGAAACAGTTTTGTAGAGGCAGCTCTACCAATACAGCTTGCAGACAAATCAAATGATACATTAGTACAAAAGCAGAGTGCAACTCTATTTTGTAAGTCATAGCTCCTTGGAAAATTGTTTGTCATGAGTTATCTGTTACCTGTCAGCTCTTACCTGTTAGCTGTCACCTGCCTCTCCTGTCACCCATCAACTGTGCTCAATAGCTTCAAGTAGCCAAAAAGGAGCATAAACTGTTTCCAAAGACTGATAAAGATTACTATACCATCCAAAGCAGCTACCTAAAATCAAAAGAAGGGAAATTGTTTTCTTCTTTCTTTGTCTTTCTTTTCTGCAGTTACATCTCTTCATCTCCCTGCTATTTTTTCTCTTTTTTTTTTTTTCTCTTCCCTCCAGCCCCCAGCCTTCCCTGATTTCTTCTCCTTGGTGAAGAGAACCTACCTTACTTTCTGCTGTTACCTAATTTTGCAAAACTCAGAAATGGAGAAGACCTGCTTGAATAACTGAATACTTTCTCCTTTTTCCATCCAACTATTAATTCTAGGCAAATCCTTTAACTCCTTTCTCCTTATGAAAACTCTTAGAGTGTAAGTGACAGTGTGACTCTGCTGATAACTATGGAAGTTAGGTACAGAAGCTAGAGAACGGAACATCAGATCAGGAATTTCCTATTAATGAAAAAAAAAAATATAAGACTTGATATGCACCAGTTGTTACAGCTGTAGCTGGAGGTCCACCATTGTCATTGGGAGAACTCATTCTCCTGGATTTAACATTTTTGCCTTTATAAATTCTCCTTATCCTCTCTTACATTTTATATTGAACTCTGTTTATTTTAAATACACGATTTATAACAAACTTTGTCCAGAGGCGTGTGTCAGCAGCCATTAGTGAAACAGGAGACACAAAGCTGTTTGGAATCATGATGCTATAATATCTCTCCAGTCATAAAAAGTATAGTAGAACTTTGGTTTTATATTCCTCTAAAGAAAGCAGGAAAATAAAACATTTTGCTGCATTTGTCCTTTGGTTAGTGTAGTAGTCCAAGACTGGTGATGTGACACGGAAATGCCAGTAGGAATGAGATAAGCCAGTGATAAGCTCTCATTAAAAGTGAAATCTGAACAATTACAGTTCCATCTTTTGCTGGAATTGCAAGGGTTTCTTC